GGGTCCAAGGGTATGCCCACGCTCCTACCTGGGGAGCTCAAGCTCCAAATACTGGTCACCTTGGGCCTAAGGTCAAGGACGCTAGGGGCAAGAGGCAGGCAAGAATGCAGACAAGGCCAGTGTGCTCCTGGAAGTCCAGAAACAGGCAGTGCCAAGCTCCCAGATGCCAGGGGAAGCCAGCTGCCAAATGGAGCTCTCCCTCTCTCCTAGCATCCTCCCTTCAACCAGACTGTGGTTTTCAGGTCACTGGCTTGCTGAACTGGGCTACCCGGGCAGGACTCGGACGCAGAGCCCAGCAGTGTCCTGCAAGCTGAGCAGTGCTCAGCCCTTACAGAAAAGTTCCATCTGAAGGCAAGGCCTCTGCCTGGCGGCCTGCCCTGGTTGGGTGTCTGGAACAGAAAAGGGGCCCTACTGCAGGAGCAGGAGGAGGAGGGAGAGAAGGGAGTGAACAGCTGCGAGCTCTATGGGGAGGATCCCCAAAATAGAAAGGCGCATATGCACTGCAGGCCTTGACCCAGAATGCTCAGAGCTACACCATAAATCCAGCTCTCCGCGGTGCAGTGGGGCTGCTGATGAGACTGAGGTTCTCTCAGGGGGCCTGTGTGTTTATACCTGAGCTCCAAGGACACGTGTTCCCCACGGCCCTTGTGAGCCAGTGCCAATCTCTGATCATGAAAAAAGCGCTAACAGCAGTAGTACCCTGTGAGGCTCCTACCATGTTCATAACTACAGCTTGTTCACTGTTGTCCCAGAGACCCAGGAGTGGGCAGAGGGCAGATTGTTCACTCCGTTTTACTAGTGCAGACACTGAAGCTCAGAGACTTGTGCAAGATCTCAGTAAGTGTCAGGGACAGCACTGCTTCCCTGCTGAGCAGGTCCCTGACCACCTGGTTCCTGGAAGTGGGCCATACACACAGCTCCCCTCTCCTAGGGCCAGACCTGCACCTGTGACGTGCGTACCGCCTGTGTGACACAGCAGACACGGGGCTTCCTCTCCAGGCTTCTAAGAGGGCCCTTTGGAGAACTCAGCCCAGCCCCCAGGGGGGCTTTTCATCAGCTTGGGCTGCCTCTGCCGCTGGATTGGAATGTCCAGGCAATCTGGACTGTTTTGCCCGCCTGCAGGAGGCCCTAAATGTCTGAGCTGCTCATCCCGGAATGGGAAGCAGCAGAGGAGGAGGAGCTTGGGAGTCAGAGCACCTGGGTTGATATCTGAATTTCCAACCTACTGACTATGTAGGACTTGGAATGTCCCTGTCCCCTCTGAGCTTCAGCCTCCTCAACAGTGAAGTGGGAACATTAATCGCCATGTCACAGGAAGAGATGAGCTGATATACACAAAGTGGCAGCAGGGCAGATTTGTCCCAGGGGAGGGTCCAGCCCAGGGCCAGGCACACAGTAGGTCCATGGGCAATGTCACGGAAGGCCAGAGATAGACAGGCCCTCTGACCTCAAGAGGAAAGGGACTTGCTCAAGGTCTTGCCGAGTGCTAGTTACAGCCTTGGGATCCACTTCAAGTTCTCCTTACTGAATTCCATGCTCTTTTTGCAAGGCAAAGCCTGTGCCTCCAAAGATGATGGACACAAATCCTCACCCCAAGGCAGGAGGCGAACAGACTTCCGCCTGCTGGGCGTTCCTAAGGTCACCAGTCTAAAGAAGAGGGGCAGGTGAAACGAGACCAGCGTTTCTGCAGCCATCCCAATCTCCACATTTCCTGTTACACTCAGGTTTCCTCTGTCCCCCTTCCTCAGCCCCACTTGCACTTAGAAGTGAGAAGAAGGGGTGGGGGTTGATTTTGGTCATACTGTGGTTAGAAAACAGGCTGTCACTCAAATGAGGACCCTTGATGTAGCTTCCCACCTTCTTAATGGGTATCTTTCTGCAAGTCACTGGATTTCTCAGACCTTAGTGTCCTCATCCATAAGGAGGGAGGAATATCTGGGGAGTTCAAAAGGAATACCATTCCTGCCAACCACTGTAATCTATAAAGTGAGCCATTTACTGTCATTAAATGATGAAATGCAGATGAGGAGCAAAGAGGTGTCTCCTTCCTTCTCCAACTGTATGGCTAAAGCCCTTAACACCTCTATTTTGTCTGGAGCTGCCTTATGAATACAATAGGTGGCTGCTCAGAGCTGGGGAATCTTTGCAACTTGCTGTGGGGTATCGACTGAGACAGAGACAACATGTGACATACATACTGGGTCCCAATTCCACACAGGCTCCGTAGCACTGCCGTCTGCAGTGCTAATGTTTGAGAGATTATCACACTAGTAATCAATCGGGCCACCCATACGAGGGAGGAATGGAGATCTTACCCTCAAAGGGAAGGATCAAAGGTTCTGCCTCCTGTCCAAACTCCACATGCGGACTGCAGAGCCTGGGGGCCTTATTAACCTTGGGTGGGTGCCCAGTGTTCAAAAGGTGACACTCCCCTTTCTCCAGATCACATGCTGCTGAATGAATGAGCAACTGTTGAAGAGGTACTTGCGTGGCTGTGATTTTTCATGAGGACTACTCCTGCCTGACACGTGCTCTGTCCTGCTCTGTGGCCTTCCGTGTGCTTCAGAGCTAAGAGACAGTGGAGTACAGAGGCAGTGACGGCTGGCTCTGAGCTCTGCCACTTGTTAGCTCTGTGGCTTTGGCTTAACCTCTCGGAGCCTCAGCTTCCTGGAGACAGCCTGTTTATCTCAGGGTTACCCTAAGGATTACAGGAGACAATGCCCCTCCCCCAAACGCTTAGCAAGTGCCCGGCACCTAGTCTGTGCACAATTAAAGGTGGTTATTCTTTCTCCTGGTTCATTTTATCTTTGTCCTCAGGAAGGGCAAAGGATGCAACAGAGCCCCATAGTTAGGAGCAGAAGCAAGACCAGAATCCAGGAGTCCTGTGCCCTGGTCTTTGGCCAAGAATAATCGTCACATCAGAGGTACATTTTCCAGAGAGGAGGCTCCCAATTATTCACATGGAAATCCCAGGGCTTTTTCAAAGCACTATCCTTTGGGACTGGTATAATTTTATTAACAGATCTTGACTTGCAATATGCTTCTTTTTGTTGTTAGTTTGGTTTTAGGCAAAGGACAGGAGAACCAGGCTGCTGAGACCCTCTGCACGTACAGCAGAGCTCCACTTAGCACCGCGATCTGCCTGAGGCAGCCAACATTGACCAGCCCCCAAAATTACCAAGGGCTGTGCTGGCTGGGGCCTGGCCAGGCTCTGCTCTACCTGTTGGGCCCAGCCAGAGGAGTGGGCTTCCTCAACAGCATCCCCTTCAGGGACCAAATGCATATTCCAAGTGGATTTTACTGTGAAGAGGACTCGACCCATGTGAGAGAGTTGCTTCTGGAGCCTGAGGCATGTTTTTTGGACCTCGGCTGGGGCAAATCCTTGGTCTTCTAGGACAGTTTGGAGTTTCAGAAATAGGTCACCCAGAACCAAGGGCAGAGAAGAGGGAGAACAGCTAATTTTGATGAAGTCCAAGGCTTCACTCTGAAGCAATGAATGTGAGTTTTGGGCAAGGCTGACAAAGGACCCTAACGACCATCTGCTCAGACAGGCCCAGCCTGGTGAGCAATGGCCACTTCTCCTGAGAGAGTGCGTGGCTGCCAGCGCCCAGGACCTATGCTAAGGAAGACCCTTTTGGTATTGACATCTACACCAATTGAAATCAAAGCAGTTAATTCACAAGTCACACTTTTAAGAAGGGTGCTGGAGGGGTGTGTGAGCAGAGGAAGAGGACCCTCATTCTCCTGGGACCAGCAGGAAGCGTGACACAGAGGAGAGCTCAGAAGGCACGCAGAGACGGGCCATGGGCTCTGGTTCCATTACCCAGAGGTTTTCCTACACTGACTCAGTTGTTGATCATAAAAGAGAAGCAAGAAGTAAAAAGGGTAACCAGGGTGGAGGTTAGAAACTGCCTTCTAGAAGATGCCTGGCCAAAAGATGGGCAATTGGGAGGACAGGCCACTGGCCAAGTCATTGCTCCATCTCTGCCATCCCCTCTGACCACCATCTCTGTGAGACTTGGAACTCCGGTAAACAAAGTTTTGTAAATGTCTACATACTCAGCTCAATGCCACATTCACAATCCATCTTTGGTGGTAGACAATGAGGGAAAAAGAGAAGTGAGATTTCAACACTGTCCCTCCACACCTGTGCACACCCTAGAATTCTCAACTAAATAGGAAGGTGACCTGCTGAAAGTGGACTGCGCTCAGGATTGGAGAAGCTAGGCCCTTTAGTTATGTGAAATGACATTACCTAAGAGCCCGGAGCTCCCAGTTCTCTGATCAGGAAGGAAGCAGACCCACGGCTCTATAAGAACCATTTCCTCTCTGCTCTATTAATTTAGAGATTAAGCAGGCCACTCCTCTGTGGACCTAATACACCGAGATAACAGCCATTGTGTTTGCTGCAGCTCCCGCTAACGCAGCTGGCCCTGGTGGGCTGGTGATGCGGCAGGCTCTTACTGTCAGACCCATGTAACCGAAGGCTCTCACGGCCCTCCCATCACCCTGGTTTCAGACACATGGAAGATCTGCGTTCCAAGGGAGGAAAGTCAAAATCGGTCAGATTGAGTTTTTAAAAGGACACCAGGGCCAGTGAGTTGAGCGGGCATCTCTGCGTGCGCTATGCGCTGGCTTCCTGTTCTCAGCGGGGCTAGGAAGCTAACACAATGTCATTCCCACATTCCTGGTTTCTGTTCAGAGAAAAAGTAACCTCTCTTCCCTCTCAGCCTTCCTCTCTTTCTAGTTGAAGGGCTACAAGGGCAGAGATCACTGGACTGGGAATCCAGATGGAAACTGGGGCTGTATCCCCTGCTCTTCCAGAAAATCACAAGGGAGCAAGGTCAGCTCATCTCCTAGGTCGGATTCTAGTTCCTTACGATGTGGGTTGGTTTCCTGCCACCAAGTTTGCACAGAGAATTGCAATAACACATCTTATGTTCAAGTTTAAGATCAGAAGCATTCAATACCCCCCTCCCCGCAATAGCCCATTGTCTGACCGATTCCTGGAGCTTTCTGGGCTCCTGACGATTTCCCACCATGGCGAAATGGGGAGGCATGCTCTTGATTATAGGCCGACTTTTCCAGTCATCCATTGTTTGACCTGCACTTTTATTCTTGACTCTCCAAGGCGCTTCCCAAACGACCTAGACACAGGGCTTAAGGAGACAAAAAGTACACTGTCTATCAGATCCGAAGGTGAGACCACTGACCCCGTGAATCACACTCTCACTCTGAGGACAGGTCTGGGTGGAGTCGGCCACATTCCTTTTCCTGCCTTTCCCCCCACCACACCCCACTCCCAGCCCCTCCCAGCCCGGGGGATGAGGGGCCCTTCTGCGCCGCAGTTGGCTGGGGTGAGACGGCAGTCACTGGCCACTGGGCAGAGCAGTTTACTGGAGAGCCGAGGGGTGGGTGGAGAAGCTGCCTGTGTGACTAAAACAACACTGAGCTGAAAGGCAGGGAATGTGCGTCCTAGGTCTGGCTTTGCTTTTTTGTGGAATGCAGTGGGGCCTGGGGAAAGGCTCCTCTGTTCTCTGACATGAAAACCACGGTGCCTGGGTCAGGGGCTGGCTGCCGGCCCCTTCAGCTGTACTAGGGTAAGCTTTATGGCCCGCAGAAGGGGCCGCTCCCGGCTCTGGCTCCGTGAGCACCCAACCAGGTGGGAGGACTAACAGGGCATAACCCAACTGTCGGTGGACGGAAGCAACGATGTCAGAAGGGGATCACGAAATCCCAGTGCCCTGGCTTACAAAACCTCACCGAGCAGGCTGTGGTCATGGTCACCCCACCACATGCCCTCCGTGACAGATGAGCAGACGCATGCAGACCCAGGTAAAGCTGGTTTTATTTTTTCATTTTGCTTCTATTTTTCATTTCTTTTTGTTTTTTTCATGATGTAGACATGCAGTAAGAGCCCCACTCAAGCCCCACATGTGTGAGGGCTGCTCTCCTCCTAAATCTCCTTTGCAGGACAGTATCAGACTTGAAAATTTCTATGTCCAGACTTCTGCCTCTGGAAAAACAGAGGTACTTTTCCTATTCTCCCACTGAGTACAACTGAAACTGCTGGACATTCTGTGTAACACAAACCAAAGACCGTGAAAAGTGGAGAGAAGGCGGCAGCCTGGCTAGGGACCTTGGAACCTGAGGCACAACACAGAGGTGAGCCCCCTGCGTTTCCTTGTGGCCTCATACATCTCAGATGTGAGCCTGAAGAAGTGAGCAACCCAAAAAGGCCCCAACAAAAGCCTGATCTCTTTAAGCAGAGGACCAGGAAAAGGGCAGCCTACCAAGACAGAAAACCGCTATACAGGAACTGCTGTCATTCAGCTGACCACCCCAGGGAAGAGTGTGGTCCCACCCCCTTCCAGCAGCAAAGACCCGGTGGGGCATGGTGGTCAGGACTCTTCTCTCCTGTCCCCACTAGGGTGGCATCAGAGGAGCTCTAACAGAGAGGACCATTGCCCTTGCACAGTGGTAATGAGTCTCCATCCCATCCCTGCCACTGTCAGTGGAGACCACCTGGGGAACAGTACTGAGGCACTCCTACCCATCCCAGTCAGGATGCTACCAGTGGAAGCCTGGCGGAGATCTGGAACTACCACCATTTCCCAGCAGTAGTAGGAAGCCCCAACCTTCCTGGCATCAATGAAGTCTGAGTGGGGAAGCTAGACCTCAATGCCCACATGGCAGAAAGGGGATTTTGTCTCTGCCTTCCCTATTGCAGCATATGAAAGTATGCTTCAGGTGTGCAAGGGGAATCAACACATTATCAGATGAGGGGAAGCTAAGAGGAGTTGTTAAAAACAGACCTCTCCGGGGAGCAGGGAAAAGGAAGTTCTTTAAGCAGAAAAGAGGGAATTTTGGACATCACTAAGAAAGAAAGAATAAAAAGAGAAAAAATAATATAGGTAAATACAATACTTTCCTTTTCCTCTCAAGTTTTCTAAGTCATGTTTGATGGTTTGAAGCACCAATTATAACACTGCATGCTGTGGTTCTAAATGTATGTGCAAGAAATATTTAACAATTACATTATAAACAGAGGCAGGTTAAGGAGGTGGAAATCGGTAGTGTTTCTATACTTCACTCAAACTGGTAAAATGTTGACACCAGTAGACCATTGTAAGTCAGGTACAAACAATGTAATACCTAGAGCAGCCATTCCAGGTGGTGTACAAAAAGGTACGTGCAAAAACACGACATGAATCATCACATGGAATTCTAAGATGTTCAAGTAACGCACAGGAAGTCAGGGCAAATAAAATGGAGAAACAAAAGCAGACAACAAACAAAACCAGGTAAGCTGGCAGAATTAAGCACTAACTTCTGAATAAGTGAAAATAATCTACATACACCAATTAAAGGACAGATTGATGCAGTGAAAAAACACGACCCACCTACATGCTGTCTGTAAGATGCTTACCTCAAACATAATGGTATGGGCCAGTTGAAAGGGAAAGGATGGAAAATAATATATCCTGCAATGTTAATGAAAAATACTATCAAGGGTAGCTCCAGTAACAGCAGAAAAATTAAATTTCAGAATAAAAAATATTACCAGGGACAGGGAGGTGTATTACACAATGACACAAGGATCAATCCACCAAGACACAGTGATCCTTCTTTCTAACACTGATGTTCACAGCAGCATCACTCATGATAACCAAAAGGTGGAAACAACTCAAATGTCCACTGATATATACATGGAAAAACAAAATTCTGGCATGTCCACACTATGGGCTGTTATTCACTCCATATAAAGGAATGAAGTACCGACGCGTGCTACGACAAGGTGGATGCACCTTCACAGCATTAGGTTAAGTGAAAGGAGCCAGTCACAGAAGGCCACATATTGCATGATTCCATTTACATGAAATGTCCAGAATAAGCAAATACGCCGAGTCAGAAAGCAGATTGGTGATTGCCCTGGGGATGTGGGGAGGGGAGAATGGGGAATAAGTGCTGAATGAGTATGGGGTCTTATTGGGGTGGTGGTGACATAAATGCTTATTAGGAACTACATAGAGGTGATGGTTTAGTACATTTGTGAATGTATTAAATGCCACTGAATTGTGCAAGATTCACCTTTATGAAAAAAAAATAGCGACAATACCAAATACTGGCAGCAGTGGGAGAAACTGAATCACTCACACAGTGCTGGAGGGAATGAAAAACAGTATAGCCACCCTGTAAAACTAGTAGTCTCTTTAAAACCTAAATCTGCAACTACTACTATATGACCCAGAAACTACATCCCTAGGTATTTATCCCAGAGGAATGAAAACTTGTGTTCAATACAAAAACTTGCAAATGTTTATAGTACCTCTGTTCATAATAGCCCCAAACTGGAAACAATGCAGAAATCCTTCAGTGGATGAATGGTTAAACAAACTGGTACATGTACACCACGGGATACTACTCAGCAATAAAAATGTCCATTGATACAATGACCTGGATTAATCTGCAGAGATCTATGCTGAGTGAAAAATAGCAATCTCCCAAATGTATATACTGTGTGATTCCATTTACATAGGATTCTTGAAATGACAAAACCATAGGAATGGACTGATCAGGAGTTGCTACGGATTAAGGAGGGGTTGGGTGTAGGAAGGAAGTGGATGTGTCCATAAATGGGCAACATAAGGGATATGTGTGGTGATGGAAAGGCTCTGTACCTTGACTGTTCCAACATCAGCATCCCAGCTGTGATGTTGTACCATATAGTTTTGCAGGATGTTCTAATTAGGGGAAGCTGGCTTAAGGGTACATACGATCTATTTGCATTATTTCTTACAACTGCATGTGAATCTACAATTATCTCAAGATATAAGAAAATTCAATTAAAATCATATGACCCAATCATTTGCTACAGAAAAGTACTTCCCAAAATTCATCACCCATTCATGATAAAAACTCTCATAAAGCCAGGAACAGAGAGGAAATTCCTCAACTTGATAAAGAACCTCTACAGTAAACCTAAGCTAACATCACAATGATTGAAGACTGAATGCTTCCAAGATTGTTAAGAAGGCAAGGAAGGATGTCTGCTCTCCTCATGGCTTGTATCAAATCAACATGTAACACCTTAAACAATATTGTATGTCAAATACATCTCAATTTAAAACAAACAAATAAAAACCAAAAACATCATCCTGGAAATTCTAGCTAGTCCATTAAGCCAAGAAAATGAAATAAAAGGCACATTAGAAAAGAAGTAAAACTATTTCTATTTGTAGTTGACGTAACTGTCTATGTGGAAAATCTTTAGAAATGTATAAAATAACACCTAGAACTAATAAGTGAGTTCTCAGGATACAGGTGCACCTCCTTTTATTGTGCTTTGCTTTATTGTGGATAATGCATTTCTTAACAAATTGAAGGTATATGACAACCCTGCAGGTTGAGAGCATGTCTATTGGCACCATTTTTCCAACAGCATCTGCTCACTTAGTGTCTCTGTAATTCTCTTGGTATTTCAAAGTTTTTCATTATTGTCGTATTTGTTATGGTGATCTGTGATCAGTAAACTTTGATGTTACTATTGTAAATATTTTGGGGCTTCATGAACTGCTCACATTAAGACAAACTTAATCAATAAACGTTGTGTGTGCTCTGACTGCACCACGAATCAGTCCATCCTTCAACTCTCTCCCTCTCCTCAGGCCCCCTAGCCCCTGGGACACAGCAGTATTGAAATTAAGCCAATTAATAATGCTACAATGGCCTCTAAGAAAGAATCACATGCCTCTTACTTTAAATTAAAAGCTAGAAATCACTAAGTTTAATGAGAAATGGCTTGTTAAAGCTGAGAAAGGCCAAAAAAGCTAGGCTTCTTGCACCAAACAGCCAAGTTGTGAATGTAAAGGAAAAGTTCTTGGGGGAAACTAAAAGTGCTCCTCCAGTGAACACACAAATGAAAAGAAAGCAAAACAGCCTTATAGCTGATATGGAGAAAATTGTAATGATCTGCACAGTTCAAACCAGCCACCATATTTGCTTAAACCAAAGCCTATTCTGTAAAGGCTGAGGTTGGTGAGGAAGCTGCAGAAGAAAAGTTGGAAGCTAGCAGAGGTTGTTTCATGAGGTTTAAGGACAGAAGTCATCTCCATAACATCAAAGTGCAAGGAGAAGTAGCAAGTGCTCATGGAGAAGT